CGTCTCGCCATAAAAACCGTGCATATATTACTTTCGCGATTTCAGAGTTTAAATGAAATGCCATCCTACGGAAAGAATAGATAGACTCTGGCATCACTGAATTTACACATGAACTTAGCCAACTGCGAACAACCTGATGTTCAAGTAGAACAAATTGTCGAGGGAAACTCGATGGCTGTACCTATCTGATGAGCCCTAAGAATAGCGAGACCGATCGTAGACTGTTGAAAGGCTTTAAGTAGCCTTATGGATAGTGTCCTACGTCAACAACTGAATTTATTGAGTGAATTTCAAGCAAGTAACGAGAGCGTACCCGCCTAGCCACACACAGACGATGTCCCGTCGATCGGTGATGAAACGTGTGCAAGCCCTGCTCAAAATTGGGCTGATCATTTGATGTTAGTAGAGTGGCCAATATTTTGGAAAATACGCCATATTTGCTTCAGCCCCTAACCTGGAGACTATGTTTGCCGGACCTCCGTCGGGTGAACACATTGGAAGGACAGCCAAGCACCACAAGCTTTCACCCCACGATGAGGTCGTCTTCTGACGAAATGGAAAAAATACGTAGAAGAAATGTAACGCAACTGTATTCGATCATCAAGAACTTACACTTCACAGGAAAATAATTACCTGGTAGAGAGACGAATATCTCGGGAGATCCAATTGCCCAGGTCTGTAATCAGGAACTGAAGCCATTCCTCAAAACCACTTTGTTTTATGGGCCATAAGTTCCACAGAAGGAGGGGTCATACGCACTGCGTAGTTCTACGACCCCTCCGTCTAAATGGTTTGTTTGAGTGAGCGGCTTCTCAAGGTCACCGGGTCGTCAAATTATGTAGTTGATTGCCACTACTACACTCCACATAATTGATGTAAAAGCCTAAAAACAAACCGTTTCTTCGGTTCCCGGTTATCTGAATCAGTTTGCGGGGCGAACGTTTGTTCCACACACACGTTCCTGACAAAAACACAAATCTCCACGTGCGTATCAATTATTCGCCTGACTAACGTTGCTATGTAGACAGAGGGGGGCGAGTTGGCTCAAGTGGTTAGAGCGCGAAGCTACTGACCGGAAGGTCCGTGGTTCGAACCCGACCTCTACCTCTTGACCTACCATGTCCAGGCTTGGGCAACCTGACAGTATCCCAGCCCTCGTGCTTCCTTTGGGTAGCATGGTAGCTAGCTATCGGAAGGGTGTTACAGCTGAAGGATGTAGACATTCTTTTTGCTGCAAGATCAGGTAAGCAATTTGTTGGCAAGCAATTTGTTGTTGTGCTGCCTAACTCAGAAACAACGGCAGCCATCGCCGAACACATCCAATTTAAAGACGTACAAGTGAGCCATTCAACAATTTTAGAAAGTGAAGAGGAAATGCATCACCACTAGGCTGCGCGGTAACGGACAGGAAGTGCACTCATTTGCAAGTAAATTTCGTTTCAACGTGAGGATCAACTGAATCCTAGCTGGAGCTCTTGTTTCGCACATTCTCCAATGAAGGTGCTGTCCAAATCGCCACCATGTTTCAATTGGTACGAAATCCAGACATCGTAGTGCATTGTATAGGCGTGGTACACTACTCACAAGGTTGCTGAAAACTTCGACGATCCGTTTAGCCCAAGTTCCCGTCAACGTTTTGTTCTACTGAAACACAATTTGGACAGATTTCGACAAATACACTCTCACCCACCCATCAGTTTGGTCTTAAAGGGGCCTCACGGGGCGAGATGACTCAGTGGTTAGAGCGCGGATTTACTGTAAGGTCCGTGGTTCGAACCCGACCTCCACCTCTGGACTTCCCCTGTCTAGGCTTGGGCAACCTGCTTACTTTGGGTGGCATGGCAGCTAGGCACCGAACGGGTGTCACGGCTGAACGAGCATCTGTTAAAGGGGGACTCAACTGAATCTCTCGTTTATGCTATCGTTCAACTGAATGAGCTCACAAAGGCCATCTGATGCCTCCTATACTACCATATTCGAGGTAGATTTTCCTGAAGAAAACTACCCACATGGTTGGCGAAAATTCATAGGCATCCCACGATCGATTTCGCCGTGCTTGGAGTTCATCGGATAGGCTTAGCCACCGTCAACCTCGTGTTCCGTTTGAATACAAAGTATACAATGTGAAACACGAGGTGGCAGCACAGGCAGTTGAAGGATAAGGGTTGGCGAAATTCATAGGCATCCCACGATCGATTTCGCCGTGCTTGGAGTTCATCGGATAGGCTTAGCCACCGTCAACCTCGTGTTCCGTTTGAATACAAAGTATACAATGTGAAACACGAGGTGGCAGCACAGGCAGTTGAAGGATAGCACAAACGAGACATTCATCTGAATCTTTCGTTAAATCGAAAATAACTTTCGGAAGACAGGTTTTGGCAGTTTGCCCATCATTTAGTGTTCAAGTAGACATTAGGTTGACGGTCTGCGCCTACCTGACGAGCTACAAGGACGAAACCGGCCGTCGGCTGCCGAGTGGTTTTTAGAAAAAGAACTTGAAAACAGAGTTATTCAGGAGGAAAAATTCGAGCAAGGAGGCCAATAACCTGAAGAGTAGTGATGGCGAGTTTTGAAATTAAACACGCGGAAAAAGGTAATAAAATCAATTAAGGGTTCTGGAAATTATGGTCCGCTGCTTTTAGCGGAGTTCAGTGGTTGGACCAAAATACATGTGTCAAATGCTAGACATCAAGACACTGACAAACTAATTCCGAATCACACCTGCACCCCAAAGTGGCACTGATCTCCTAGGCCACTTCGATTAAGAACTACCGACCTAAACCGCGGGAGAACAAGATTATGACGAAGGCTGTACGGTTACTGCAGCGCGATCATCCTACACAGTCAGTAGGCGTCCGTTTCCCAATCGTTGCTTTTTGTATTGTTGAACAGAAGCGCATTTGTCACGACCGCAACTCAAGATGTTGCGAAGCAGCGACCGAACGGTTCAACAAAACAGAACCAGGGTGGGTTAGGATTTAGATAGCTCGGATTTCCGCTGTAGTGAAATTCCTTCAGTCGGCCGATGGGTTCACCCAACTCGTCAAGACGGAGGCTGAGATGGCATAAATAGGGTTTTGCTTTTTGTCCAAAGCGATTGGCAGAGTCTTGTAGACAAAAGACTGGTTCAACCATCACAACCACTTAGTTAGTAAATTTCACACCTGAATTTCTCATACTCAGTGGCAAAATTCACTTTTACTGGTGGCTACACAAATTTACAACGCCCTGGTGAATACAAGAAGGCGTGAAGAATGGGCACTCGGGGATACAAGACACATAAGGGAACCTCTGAAAGCATGGTACGCTGCGATGGATACGATCACGTGACACGTCCAAGTGGACCCAACCCGCGCGCCACTACACATGAGGGACCAGCGACGTAACTGGAATACTAAAGTGGATTAACACACTAAGAAGCAATAAGACCCCTGGAGTTGGGTCAGCAAAGGTCGCAGCACGGATACCAGAGGAACAGAGAGTCCCCTCGAGTAGCAAACAGTAGATAAGACCATGACCAGCTGGGCACAACTCTTACATCGACGTCGACTAATCGAGCTGCACGGTAACGATAGAACCTCTGGACACAACAATCACCTCAACAGCAACAGGTACGATAACAAACCGCACTAATACACAAACAACCACTGACGAGTCGCTCCGATCCGTTTCACAACGATATACTGATGACGTTATCTCGGTTATGGTGGGACGATTGCAGTTGTCACCTAGTTTGTCACTTTCGGTGCTAAACCGGTGCATGCCAGCAGGCTGCCGCCGCCGACCGTTCGATTCGTTTCCTCTGTCATCAAAAGGTGGTGGAATCTCAGTTGATTCGCTCGTTCATTATACTGATCGTTCATTATACAGAAAAAATTCCCGTGTTTCAGGTGGTACGGTTTTCGAAGTAGTGTAGTATGTTGTCCAGACGGAATACGACAAGGGCATCTTGAAACGTTCGTACAATGTGAGCTTAAGTAGAACGGAAACTTGAGGACCGTGCCTGCCCGGTAGGCCCTAAGAAGGGCAGATGCGGTCGTGGGCTGTCGAACAGTTCTTATCGACCTCGCGAATAGTGTTCCACCTAGAGTGAAACACGTTTACACGACCGAGACGGCCATCTCATTCCCGGGTCATCATGGTGAGTGAGTACCTTGGCGGCTGAGTAATATAGAGGTCTGCTTGCTACCCAAAGGAGTAGGCATGTGATACGAAGTACAGGGAGTGAGCCACATTGGTATACGTGTTCACATCGTTCCATATTTGCTTTGTGTTCAACCACCTAGGTTGTCAGCCTGAAACGTAGAGAGCGATTACTACACGCGTATGTTACCTGAAGATATGAAAGTTAGCAACTCACCACCGGTTACCTATTAAGGAGAGGAAGCCTGTTCGCGTTAAGGAACTTGCCAAAAGATTTTCTCGACTGTTGTACTCAGTTCAAAATCTCCGTTTTTGGTGCTACCACGCACGGAGATAAAGAACACTTAGACGTGAAGTTTATAGTCCTGATTATGGGTAATCGTTGAATGGAGTGAATCGAACTCAGTGATGTGTGACGAACCGTCGTACAAAACGTATGTCGGTCAGTGACTCGTCCAGTAAGCGAGAGGTTGGTGGTTCGTGATCGTCTCTAGGAATGCCTCTTCGTCCGCCGAACTGCAGCACCCTTTCCACATGAATCTGCCATGTCACCTGAAGGAAACACGAGGTCAAAGGTACTGCTAGGTTGCCCAGGCCTAGACAGAAGTAGTCAAGATTCCGGGTGCTGAGTCTAACTTGACCTTATGATAATTCCCCCATTCATTTGCTTACTCCGCCTATGTACTTTTGATCCCATTTTTTTTGCTTATTCGTACCTGCCACTCACCTTGCCGCAGAGGAGATCCTTTCCGACACTTGTGTTGTGACCTGTGTGCTTGTGTGTGAATGTGCACTGCTGACCTACTTACCCATGTGCGTTCATGTCCCGTTTGCTGAGCCTGCCTTGGCTTGTTTTCTCATGAGTTCCGTATTGTCGCACGTCCAATGAGAATCACGAGACCGTCGTCGGAAGGAACGACCGCAACCCACGTTACTGAGACATCATTCCGCTCGCCGTTGTTTGTGTGGACGTTGACACTGCACTGTGAAGTTGTTAACGCTACGAATGTGAACAATTGAGGTTTGTTGTACACATTTGCTTACCCTTGGGTAAATAGTACCGTAGAATTACGAACCCAATTCTTTCTTTTGATATTCGGGATTTTCGAACCTACGAGTCACTCAAAGTCCCGTATGGGGGACCCCAACACCGGGTTGGCGTTCGAACCACGGACCGTCCGGTCAGTAAGTTCGCGCCTTAACCATCGAGCTATCTCAAGCTCGGGTACCTCAAAATTCCCGTTCGTTGTTCATTGGTTGACAGTTCAGCTGGACGAAAATTAGCGTGTTCATCTCCGTCCTTCCAGACGGGAGACCTTCAACCTTCACAAAGCATATTATTCGGGCAGTTTTTCGCCAAGCAATGCATTATGCGTAGATCCTCGAAGTAATTTTAAGCGGGATCTTAGCCAATTGTGTAATCGTGGAGAACTTCGACGATTGCACGAACCTGACGTGAGGAATCCGAACGGATTTCCAGTATTGATCACGAGGCCAGATCCTACAAAGCATCAATACCGTGCATGCGTTCCCAGATTCAACTGATCCTAACTATCGCTAATCACAAACGGATGACCTTTAATACGGACCGCCATCGAGTGAATCCCGCTTCAATCTTGAGTAACCCACCACGTCTAAAAACTCCCCCTTAAGAGACCCCATATTTAAGCTGCAACTCTGCACCCTTACAAGGTTGCACCTGAATTTAGTAAGTGCGATTCAGCGGGCGTAAAACAGCGTCGACGATGTGGAACGGATAACTCGCCGGACACCGCACCACAGCAAATAGCTGTGGATATAGAATCTAGCATGTTGTAGAAATAAGGGATGACTATCAAACATGCATTAGAGGGGTGTTGCATTAATCCGGGCAACAACTGAGTAAGGCCCGTTCAGGATTTGACTACAAACAGGTCACAGGAAAACCCTACCCTTTTCTAGATTACAAAATCTTTCCTTATGGCCTAGAATCCATGAAGGCACACTCGGCCTCATACTATAGAAGCTCGGATGCGGAGCTGCGCAAAAGACAAGCAGAATCATTCACCTAAAACTGATCGATCATCAAGACATAGTCATCATCGACAGCATGACATCAGTGTTCAACACTGATGCTTCGCTGCCCTACAATCATGATCTGTTTGAAAGCCTTATCGTGAATAGAATAAAGTGAACGGGGAAGGGAATTAGCGCTAGCTCACTACAATCATTCCGAGATGCCTGCACATTCAAACATTCATTCAGGCAATCTGGGTAGGAACTAACAACAAGAACGCCACTGGCATCGGTTGGCAGCCATACTTTGAAGCATCTCAAACTGGGCGCAGTGAGGACCACGCGGTCCCCATCCTGGAAGGCGAGTAGCACCGACACCACCCAAGCGTCTCGTAATCTCCTTCGTACTCCTCTACCAGGTCGAGGGTTGGCTTCCATCACTCTCAATTGGGCATCGAAAACAGTACTCTCTACGGGAAAGAATGGTTCAGCATACGTAACACATGTCCCAACCAACGCAGTTTCTGGTGCTGGACACATTCTTCAGTGGATATGCCCGTTCCACGATCAAAAACTCGCTTTCTATACCCGTTCCACGATCAAAAACTCGCTTTCTAGTTGCCTCGGATAGGCCGACGCCAACCCACACGCATTAGCACGAAGGTTGGCAACCTTCAAGACCGGTAAACCGAGGATCGAGTTTGTAATTTGTTGCAATCTTGGTAACATGCAGCACATGCCCCAGCGTGTACTGCGCGACAGACCGTGTGTGGTTGTAAATCCCAGCGCTTTAGCTTGCAGAATAGTAAAAAAAATCACCGATGGACCACATATATTTACCAAGAAGATTTGCCAATGCGGAGTAGAACAAACATCACAGATAGTGAAAACCATGCAAAAAAGAAACGCTGCAAGCACAGAGAACAACAGATCGTGTTTCAAAAGTTTCTTCATTTTATGAAGAAACTGTAAGGATAGCCCTGGTATTTCCTCCGGAAGACAGACAGTACCAAGCTGAATGCGACCGAGAAAAGCCCGACGCCTCCGAAAAGGAAAACTAGAAAAGGGAAACACAGACAACGGTTGGTTACATCGTAAAAGCGGTATGGACGACAGCGTGCAAGAACCGCGGAGCAGCAAACAGCAAAAGAGTAAATTTTATCTCGGTAATGAGGTCTATATCATGCCGGCGTAACAGATATCAGAGAAATCGCCTTCCCGATCACGGGGATGATTAGATCACTTGCCACGGTGTGGATATCACGAGTTATTGAGTAGGTCATCGGGTACCTGGAGAGTACGAAACCGGTGGGTTCATCCTAAGCGGTTCGGGATGAGTGACTGTGCGTATATTCGCGTTTCGGAAACACAACACTTGTTGAAAAAAACAGTTGGAGAGTGTGTATGGAAGGAATAGAGACTTTGGACGTTGTCGTATCGAACAGATCCCCTGTATTTAAGGTTCGTTTTATTGAGTGGCCGTTTCGGCGTCAGACACTGGTTAGGCGACTGACTGCTACGTGGGCCAGGGACAACTAGATTCCAGACAGGAGAAAAATCGTCCGGCTGTAGCACCCTTTCGATACCTAGCTGCCATGCCACATGAAGGAGGCACGAGGGCTGGGATACTGCCAGGTTGCCCAAGCCTAGACAGGGGAAGTCAAGTGGCAGAGATCGGGTTCGAACCACGGACCTTCCAGTCAGTTAATTTGCGCTCTAACCACTTGGTCCATCTCGCCAACATGCCAGACAGGAAAATGCTATAAAAGAGAAACCGTAAAATGAATGACAAATTCCTGCTACACGGGCCGAAAATGCACACCTCTGACGAGCCAATCGACAGTGCATGAAGTCTGGCAAAAGTCATCCTCCACATCTGTCACATACAAGTTCTTTGACTGATTCACACGAAACCGAAAGCATCATGCTTGGGTTTCCCTCTTGTTGCGGTGAGATGCTCAGATCCACCAAATCAGATGCGCCACTCAGCTGGCGGAATGGCGGTCAGATGTGCTTGGCTTGTACACCAGACACTCGGTGAAGCACGACCAACGAGTCCACAGCTTACCATTCGGCCAATCAGGACAGATGAGGGGATAAAACTTAACCAAAGAAGCTTTCGGTTGAGGAACTGAAAACCAGAAATCACTTACGCATTTTCTTTCCCGAGTCGCAGGTTTCTCCGACGCGATGAATCATAATGATTCCAGCAGTAGCCAGAACGTCTACGATGAATGATTCAAGGTTAAGAAATAAGCAGACGACCATAAACCCACGAAAATGTTATGCGTAAATAAGTGATGTAGAAATCAAATCTTGTGAGCAGCATTGTTCCCCTTCTCTCCGATGGAGCACCGTGTTGCGAGACTTAAGTGGTTCCAGGTCGATGTTGGAAGGAAGACAGATAAGAATGGCGCAATGTATGCTTTAATAGTCTAATAACTATTGCACATGCACTGAAAATATGGAGGTAAGTAATTCCTACTGGGAGAGCTGACAAACTTAATGCGGCACGAATGCTTGACAAGACAACTGGAAAGTTTTTTGCGAGAAATGGAAGATTTTCATAGCATGCAGAAAAATATATTCCCCATCTGCTGCGCAATTATCTCTAAATGAGCAAGAACTCCGAGTAGTGCAAAGACGTTCAGCTGTAACACCTGTAACGGGGGAACGGTATCTTCGAGTGACGCGTAGTACCAGAACCTCCGGAAAGGCAAAACAAATTCGGAGCTGGGTTTCTATACGTTGTCAGTTTTCCTGCAGGAGTGTCAAGCTTGACAGGAATAACTCCTAGGCATGCTGGAAGCCGACAACCTCGAGTTAAGGCACAAAGAACCTCCCCCTCTGAAGACGTCGAAGCTTTGTTTCCGGGTTTTCATGCATGTAACAGCCTATGATGTCGTCCCCTACAACCTGACTGGCCGCATCGAACAACTGAGTTGCAATAATTAGCCATGTGGGAGTTTCCTAAGCAGACAAAGCATGCATTATGCTCCCGTATGCATTTCTATCCATCAAGAACTTCCATAGACAGAAAGCGCTGGCAACTGGAAATTGGGTGGGGCTGTGAACATAATGGGCAAGCAGTTGGACCACTGCGTCTGGCCTAATGTTGGTTAGGAAACTAGTGAAACCATCCCGTCTAGGGGCTTGGTTGGTGGATGTTGGCGTTACACGAGGGCGTCTTACGCCCCCCTCTCGAGACCGTTGCTCAAACCGACTCCGTACAACCCTGGAGCGTGTTCACAAACTCCGTCAAGTCAGTAACCGTTGGGTCCCGGCCATTCATCGATATCTTATCTACCGCCTCAGCCCATTTGTGCTGCAATGGCGAGGGAAGAGAACGCACGATTCTTTGGCTCCAGAACAGGGATCGACTGTGGAACTACTCAAGGTGGAACTATCACACTTTGATGGTAATCCGTGTCATTACTGGAGATTCACCTGCCAGTTTGTGGTATATGTTGAGAGCAAGGTTCAGGACGCCAGTCAGAGGCTCCTGTATCTGATTCACTACTATCAAGGCGACGCAAAGGCGGTCATTGAAGAATGCGTGATGCTCCCGCCGGAAGTAGCATACTCCAAGGCTCGGGAGATGCTACGCAATCTCTTTGGTCAGCCTCATGTTATTACTCGCTGTAAACTTGAAAGCCTGTTTCGATTTGCACGACAGACCACTGGATCAGCCAAGTCTTGTGCATAAAAATGCGCAGTTGTAAAACTGCATCGACGTAAATGCGTTACGTTTCAGACTTGCACTCACTTGTGGTTGTAGAGAGAATCGTGCGTCCTCTTCGTTCGCCATTGCAAAACAAATGGGCTGAGGTGGTAGATAAGATATCGATGAATGGCCGGGACCCAACGGTTACTGACTTGACGGAGTTTGTGAACACGCTCCAGGGTTGTACGGAGTCGGTTTGAGCAACGGTCTCGCGTCAGGATAGAATACCGATTTCTGGGACTTCAGTTTAACCCTCTTTCTTAGAAGCTGAGGCATGACTCATCATCCTCAGATTTCGTCAACGCTATACTGTCTGTGGCATAATACTAAACTTACAAGGTTCGACACACGGACGATAGCATGTTATCCAATTGTCCAGCCTTAGTTAGTAAAGGCCAACTCAATATTAGTGGGTTGGCAGTATCCCGGTAATTGTGTGTCAAACGAATGAGCGCATTCAAGCTGAACTTTTCAGAGTGAATTTCCACATTCCTATTATCAGAACTATATTGTCCGTGATGTGTGCTGAGTGTAAAGATCAAAGGCCTGACAAGATCTTCGATGCAGTCACCAGTTAATCCGAACTGAGCCGTGAAGAACTTCGTAGTTTGAATTATTATGCAGCGCAGCATTCGAATAATAAGCTGGAAAGTTTTTACTAGATATCCCCTCTTTTTGCTCACAAACGGCGCTGAAAACCTCACTTGCCTCCTCCGTTAGTGTTGCTTCATCTTCTTGGGAAAGACATGTTCTCCGTATCCGACCCTACCCTAATCACCCCATTATGCCCAAAGTTCAGGGGTAAAAACCTGCCCAAACGGCTCCAATGTGATCTCCCATACTATGCCTTACTGAGTGACGAATGGTATGTATTTGGGCGCCATCGTCCTACCAGTGACTTAGTGACGTGTCTTCCGCGTCTGATTACATGCCCTAGACTACCTCTGTGAATCAGATGAAGTGGGCCTCGAAAGCTACCTATTAAGTGTGGCACGTCAAACCCATCAAGCTAAATATGTACGACCCGCGGGCTCTTCTGTTCAGTTGGATTTGAAAATCCCCGATGAAGCCGCCGCCTGACCTCAATGGCGCTTTTTCATAGGCGCACAGAGCCAGTGCTAGAGTTCCGACGAGGCCCGCTATACCTTGCTCCGATTTCTTACCGTTCATAAATGCCCTACTTTAATCGTTTTTTGTATGTATACATGCCTGCCGCCCTTCGCACATTCATTCCTCACAACTCCTAGTGATCTGCCATGTCTCGATGAATGCAGTCTATCAACAAACTTTATTTGGAGCCTACCGGATGCAAATGCACTTTGCCTTGCAAATTCATAAATGGTTCCGTCAACTTCCGCCGTTTCACTTCCAAACACACTATCTCCAGCCTCATACCATAATCTCCCCTTTGCACTCTCCTTAGTTTGACACTTTCCAACCATATTTCAGTCATCTCAGGTCTCACGCAGGTTTCCGTGAAGGTTGAATTTATGTTGTTCGGAAATTCCTCTCACCCCTTTCAACTGCCTCTAACGTGGGGCGTAGCCACATTTGGGATAAGGTATTGTGCTCCACCCATTGACCAGATTTGACGAAAATCCGTAAGGCTTGCTGCACTCTGACCGATATCCCTCAGCCCGTCTTCCACCATGTCGTTTTAATTCAACTCCTACCTCCAACGAGAAGCCTTCTTTTGAACTCGCACATCCTGTTTCTGTGCCAGTAACAAGCACCACAGGAAGACCCACTTTTTACCTCAAAACTCCTCTTTTTCTAATTTCCTCTAGAACCGCACTAATACGAGACATCCCAGTGTTGTTTTCGCAGCTTCTTAGGAATCGGGTTGACGACTGCATAACTAATGCTGATCATGTCATGCGCGTGATTACTCGCTATTCAATGTGGCTAAACTCTGGTGCACACGTTCAAACAATGAAACAGTTATTGGTATCACGCATTGTCACACGTAGACATAATGAAATCCTTCAATATCTTGACAGTTTAGAACTACCATCCAATGGAGACGGAATTTCTATTTTGTCCAGTGAGGGCACGTGCCATCCGAACCTCCACCCCATTGAGAAGGCACGCGATATAGCAGTAAATCGAATGTACGAAAGTGTCCACGGCCATGACTTCAAAACTGAGTTACCAATTACTTCAAAAAAAGGATTGGGGAGCTATCGGTTGAAATAGCACCAAGGCAACGAAAAGCGATTTATGGAGACCTCGGAAGTGAAATGGTCGAACTGCATCACCGGGAAACTCCTTCAATGGGGAGGATTCCTTGGGGTGACCCTTCACTTTCCTGTCTACTTTTTTGACTTTACGTCGATCAAAACATATTCCTTTCTGATGACACGCGAAACTCACAGACCGAAAAAAAACCAGTCGTGTAATTTTGCTGCGGATGTGCAGTCTTCGGAAACACGTCATCAGGAACCGACGACAGATGGGATCACGAACCAAGCTAAACTACAACACTCACTTCTTCATGATTTTCTAACGGCGTGGCAATCCCTTCATTTGTCGTCCTTAGGAGGTTTACTATTTTCCAAAGTTTTTGAACCCTATTATTTAAACGGCCAAGCAGAGCAGCTTACATTCCACAATTAGAAGCGAAATCTACTTTTCGTAATATCATCCAGTGTAGCTGCATTGACAACTATAAAGTTCATCGGAGGTTCTTGAACTTGAGAAGTTACCGATCAACCAAATACCGTCGTAACCGTTGTTCTATGTGGGCTGGGCACTTACACCTAGACAAGAGGACCCAAAGGTCTTCGACCAAAGCGTTTGGTTCAGAAGGTAAACTGATTACCAGAAAACATTTAAATCTGCAACATGACTCATGACTTGACAGGAAACGGAAATGACGTGGCCACACCTACATCTAGTACACTAACTGTTGACTCACGAGTCACTCGTAGTAAAGCGCACCAGATGTGCAGAAGAAAGCTAAATTTAAGAGGTCGGTCAACTACTGCTACGTTAGATGGTGGTCGCGGAGTTTGATTCAGGAACAGGAGTGGTTTTTATGGGGGAGGTTTAATGTGTTTACCACTGATTCAATCATAAGGCTTCCGTAACCAGGACAAAATGACTCTTTTGGAGGACACCTGGCTAAAAGAGGATGGACTGTATACTCAGTGCTTCTCGATGCATCCGAAAATGTGGCCCATTCGTCGAAGGTTGTGTGAATTTATGAAAATATTGGGGTTTGTGAAAGGGTCCTGCGTGACGCAGCTCCACACGATTTTCCGTCAAAGTTAGCAGGACTAAAATTCTGACCGAAAAGTTGGTGACTCCAATTTTAGGAATAACGAATCTATTACTCATTGGTCCAGGCATCAGTAATCCGGCAGTATCTCAATTTTTCCGCCTCCTTCGGATCGCGTGCCCACTACGAGCACCAAGAGAGACAGAGTCTAACCTGCCGTATCTTTTCGATCACTCCGTGGGCAACGGTTGTCGATAACCATCAAGTGTTGAATTTTTGGCGGAAGACTGTCACGTTTAGCCGGCGCAAAAAAAGTGAAATTTAATTTGAAACGGAAAACGAAAAGGATACAGAGCGCCATTACAATGAAGGTCTCCGCGACGAACTGATAATCCGATCCCGGATAAATGAATGCAAGCTAAAAAGATAACGCAATGTTTGATTGGTAAGACGAAAACAGCAACTCACAATCTCTCCAGTGTGTGTACCATGGAAGAGTGGGGGTCCTCGAATCTGGTTATATACCTGGCCGGTAATGCCGCACATTATGACAGTCTGAAAAAAATGAGTAGGACCAGATACGATGACACCATCAGATAAGGCTAAACGCTGGTACAACATTAGCTGAAGCAAGTCAACTTCGGCCAGTTGCTTTATGTCAGACGGTCAACTAGTTCAAAACCACTCAAAAAGGTACCCCGATTTAAACTGTAACAGAGGAAGCCGGGAGGACAACGATAGATTGGTGCTTCGCTCCGCCTTATTGTGAAGGAGTAAAGGTGGATAGGGAAGGGACAAGGTACCAGCTTACTACAATCATTCCGAGGTGGCTACACTTCCAAGCACTCATTCAGGTAATCGGGATGGAATCTGACAACAAGAACGCCATTGACATCGATTAGCAGCCATATCTTGCAACAACTTCAACCAGGCGCATTTGGGATCACGTGATTCCCACCCTGGAAGGCGAGTAGCACCGACAGCACTCAAACGTTTCGTAATCTCTTTCATACCCCTCTTCCAAGGAGTTGGCCACTTCTCTGCCTCCGACGCTGAATTTGACTCTGAAAACAGCAACCCTTTCGGCAGACGACGATTCGGCATACGCAATACATGACCCAACCAGAGCGGCTTATTCAATTGAAGTCCCTGTTGCATAACCAAAGACTCGCTTTCGAAATGCCTCGGGGCGAATTATCCGACACCAGCTCACACGATCTTTGGTGCTTAGATAACGATTGTCGAACACCTGAAGACGTCTCAGTTCTGCTGATCAAGCACGCCGAGTTTCACGGCTATTTAACAAAAGCTGAAGAGGAAAGGTGAAAGAGGACAGCCATGCTTGGGCCAACTTGACGTGTTGAACTCAGGCAAGAGCTTTCCGTAAACCTTTAGGTTGCCGCGGGAGTTGGCGTAAAGCATCTTAAGGAGGGTCAAGAATTTATGGAGGGACACCTTTGCTCCATAGACACTGCAATAGTGCCTGACGTTCCACAGAGTCAAAGGCAGCTTTCAGATCAAGGAACAAAGCCATTGTTAGTTGCTCGAAACCGCGTTGCTGTTTCAGATTCTATCGGAGGGTGATGTGATCGTCTTGCAGGACGGAATCCAGCTTGGTTTTCACGGCTCTGCCTTTCCCTGTGCTCAGTCAACCTTCGAAGGATAAGACCATATCGTTCAGCTGTAGCATCATTTCGGTACCTGATTGTCATGCCACCAGAAGGAAGCACGAAAGCTGCAATACTGCCAGGTTGCCCAAGCCTAGACAGAGAAAGTCGAGAGGGGAGTTCGGGTTCGAAACACGGACCAATTAGCCATCTCGATCCCTTGAGGCCAGAGAGGAATTTCGATGCCACATCTACCAAAGTGATGCCCCGGTGCTTTCCACACGGCATCCGCGTACTCTTTTTGAAGATAGGAATAACTGTCGACATGCTCCATTCTACAGGCACTTTATCTTCGTTCTATGTAGCACCAATAAGCTTTGTCAGATGTATCACTAGGGCTTCTTCACCTTCTTTGAAGAGGACTGGAAACATACCATCCGGTACGCACTTTCTCCACAAGCCGGGTAGCAGGAGGCCAGAGAACTTCTTCGAAAAGTTAGACCCGTCTTTTCAGTCAACGTTTTTGCGAGCAATCAATGGGCCGCCTTTTACACCTAACGTTTCCCTGACCGCTACTCTCCTATGACCAGCCGATCGTATCAGTTGGTACAGGGCACAGCTGTTTTCAGTAGCAAAAGCCTTCTCCAGCTCCTGGGCTCTCGACGTCCACCAGAGCCTTCGGTGTTTCCCTATACTCTTCACTATTTGGCGTTTGAGGGATGTGCGTGCGCCGTCGAACTCGTTGCATGCTGGTATGGATTTCCTGGCATTAGTCCATGATAGCGATTTCGACGACATCCAGTGGTCTTGTGGTCGAACCGAAGAAGTCGGACAGACAGCACTGAACGCAGCTAGCATAGCTCCTCTCATATTTCTCCATGCTTCCTACCAGTACAGTATTGGTCTACTGTGGAGAGTTGTTGGGCTAGCTAAGATCGACACTACTGAGCTATCGCAGCTTTTCGACGATGGTGGATCGGTAAGCTTCTTGCTCACTTGCAAGGACTTGAGGGAAAACGAACCATTAGGCACGCACGCATCATGGTGCGATTGGAATCAAGTTGTGTGCTCCAGAAGGAATGGTAGTCTTGAACTGTAGCATCCTCCTACAGGACGAAACCCACCTTGGTTGTTCGTGAATGTCTCTGTGCTCAGCCAATCTTCAAGGGACAAAACCCAGAAGCGCCTTCGATGCCCAAACTACCAGTCTAATGCTGTGATTTTCACAGTGATTGGGTGCTTATTCGAAAGTAGGGACGACCGTCGATGTGTCCCGTTCAGCAGGCACTTTTTTCTTCACCCCAAATCGCACGAATGAGTTTTCTCAGATAGATCACTAGGGATTCCCCACCTTCAAATCTTGCCCGAACCAGGTAGCGATAAGTGCATGCGGCTGAGATTGTGCGCACTTCTTGGGGACGTTCTGACGTTGAGTCCGCACTGGGTCCGCGCATGTAAGCACCGAATCCTTTGCCAAAGCCAATCAAGCAGGAATTGTAATATTTCTCCTTTGAAGGTCTGAGGCACATATCGAGCAGTGCAGTGAATTTACCTAGGTCATCTGAAATCGTTTGGAATTCTAAAGGGGCTGAGAAGAACGATATCGTCAGCATACTCAATGTCTGTGAGTGAACGCCCCGGACGTATTTCAATCCCCGAGGTGCACAGGCAGGTGAAGATTCGAAAGCACATTGATTAGGAAGTTGCCCGACACTACTGGATGCGGTGAATCCAAAGGAAATTCTTCCGGGGCTCGTGTGAGTCTACCGGCAGAGACATTTAGTGTTCCTGAGAGATAAGTTGCCTAGCGGGACGCCAATGAAGCATGGGTCTTGGAGACTGATATCATGCTGTCGATGATGATGACGACGATAGCGGGACGCCTTTCATCGCCAAACACTATCCTGCTTACTGATGATTGAGGGAATCGACAGCAGCTTTTATAATCGCCGGTCGTAAAAGGAATTGGGGAATTAGTCGTAAAGCAAAGACATGATCAACACTATGTCAGCTAGTGGAATTCAGTTTGATTCTCCGGAATCTGGCTATCCCGACGATTGATGAAACTGCGAAGGATGTCACGGGGAGGTATGGCTACTAGATTAATACCCCGACGGTCTTTGTGTTACGTTCTTGAACTGTTTTCAATAGTGTAGTCACCGTCAAAGCACTCCATTTTGTTGGCATTCCGTTCTCACTCCAGATAATTCAGGGTAATGGTGCCAGCCATCTCACAAGAGATTCACCGTTTTCTTTAAAGATCGCGAGATGCAACCCGAAGTTGTTGACGGTGTTCCATTTAGGTTCATGTGATTCTTCTAAAGATTGAGTTGAGGGGGCTGTATTCCTTTCGGAGATGATTAATTGGATTGGCCGGAATAATATGCGACTGTCCCCATTACAAATGTTTGTCCACATTCCGGACCTACGCTACTCATCATCCCTAGGCTCTTTAATTTTCGATCTTTGGAGGACCGGTTGGCGCTATTATAGTCGCTTGTTGCTGACATCAGCTTCCTGGATAGCGGCCGCGACAATTTGCGGTGTTCAGTTGATGCCGGACAGGTGATTTAGGAGTTTCGGACGTAATTTCATCCGTCTTTTTTCAATCATTTTATTTGTCATCACTGTTACCCCGTGTCAGTTGGCCTCTGAAAGCTTTTTAGTGAGATCAACTGGATACCGTTGGGAAATGGGGACGCACTGGAATCGGTAAACTGAATAATCTGGCGTTGACAGGCATACTACGGAGGGAAAGAAAATTAGCCAATAAGACTTCACAATGTCATGGTCGGAGTACAGTGTACTAAGAGAAAGAACGATTATTATGACCTGAGCTCTTCACAAGCAGCTGGTTTTCATATGGTCCAACTGAGAACACGGCTCGTTAGCAGCTGACGGCCTACAGAAGACCATCGACGCATGCTGTCTCCGAAACACATACACAAGACCCCAGCCGAGTCATTCATCTCAAATCGTTCGCGATGAACTCAAATTTCTTGCGATTTACTCGTCGGGTGTCTGACCATCCTGATCCGGCACTTGGGTTGTGTGTGGGTTGGATTCCAGTAGATAGTCGTCTTTGCGCTGTTAGATTGGCGGGTTCAATCAAGACCAATGCATCTCGCCGTGGCGAATGGTGTTTATTTGTGTCGGCATGCGCTACGACAGTTTTTAGTTCGAGGAAAACAGCCTTTATCGAAATCTGTTATAGTTGCTCCGGTTAGTGAGAAATACGGATGTTGTGATTCTCTTAGGCGGTATGAACGCTCACGCTAGCCGACCTGGTGACCACTTGTGAGCTGACGCTCACCGCATGGATAATGGTGGACGACCTATTCAGTTGTGTCAAACATGATTTACTTCTAGCCGGCACAAACTTTCAGCACGGGCGGTCACACCGTGTGACATGCACGACCTATTCAGTTTGTCAAACACGATTTACTTCTAGCCGGCACAAACTATCAGCACGGGCGGTCACACCGTGTGACCTGCAGGACACCAACTTCAGGCCTGCAGTGGACTCACATGGACCATATGATAATCAACTACTGGGAAGATTCAGCAAAAGATAGTCGCTCACTTTGGAGTACGCCACTTGGCTTCGATCACAGCATCGTGCGAGAACATGTATGTAATAACTTCCCATTGTTATATACTGACGTTGTGTTTAACTTGATAGTCGCTTTGGAGTACGCCACTTGGCTTCGATCACAGCATCGTGCGAGAACATGTATGTAATAACTTCCCATTGTTATATACTGACGGACGTTTTAACTTTTTTACTCGCTATTCGTTGAGCTAATTGTTTTTCCTAATGTTTTAACTGATGTACTGAAACCCCAATCCTGCTTCAGAACAATGGATCCATTGGCACGAAACGTTTACGAACTTCCTCTCATGCATCGAACTCCCAAACGTTGACAAAAGAAAAGAAAAGGTAAATTTTCTTTCTCCGTCCGTCTATCAACATGTTTGTGATTGTACTACTTACGAAGACGCCATCCAGACGCTCGAAAAGATGTACATTAAACCCAAAAATGAAGTGTTTTCCCGCCACGTGCTGGCTACTACCAAACAA